CTGCGAGACTAGAATTAGATAAAAAAAAAATCGAAGAGAATTCTCTCGTACAAACTACGACTTGATTTTTTTTAACAATAATTATTAGATAAAATCACCAGATTATAAAATCAATTCAAAAAACCATCCAAATCTTACCGTAACAACAATAATTTGTAGCTAATAAAGTGGGAGTTTGAAAAAAAAATTAAACCTTGATCGACACATTGAATATATTTTATACAAATAAAACGTTAAAACAATGTATAAAGTAATAATCCGTTGAATAGCTTTATTTGACTAGAACTTACAAAAGACCAAGGACAAATATATATATTTTACTCTCGAGTTTATGCTAAGTTTAGTTGTACTTAATGTTTTTTTACTGTGGTACTTAAAGTTTTTTCTTTTGAAACCTGGCCAAATGTGAGTTCGTCGTTGACGGTATGTGTGTGGATATAATACAAGTGCGATAGAGTTGCGGCCACTGTTGTAGACGCGAGAAACTCCCGTCTGCCCGTATAGACAATTTTTCACCGGCCCGTACTGTTCCCGCCGCCACCGGAATCATTTACAAAACTCGGGACAGACACGGTGGTGTATGCAACCGGCCAACGGTGGGTAGGAGTAGGTGGTAGCACATGCACATACCGACTGTACATTATTATACATATTATATACGCCGCGCACACAAAGAAAATTCTATTGCATCCACGGGCGACGTGTGCGTACGAACGAAGAGAATCGCACATACATGTGCTTATAAATGGATTGCCTGAAACGAGTGGAAAGATGTATGTATACATACAGTCACGAGCTTGGGCGTCCGGTAAGGGATGCAAGAAAAATATACCCTTTGGTACCGTCGACCGAGATACAATCTGGCATAGACCCATTTATAGTTTGGACAGACCAAACAGTCAAGGGTGAACAGAGCAGAGTACACGTCTGACATTTGGCAACCTTACGCATAACTCCTTCGATATTATTACTATTATTATTGTGTTGTCCATTTCGTTTCGTTATTTTAGACTTCCTCTCAGCTATTATATAATAATTCTATATGCAAATTACCTTAGCCCGAACACTCAGAATTTGTAGTTACATTGAGCCAAAAGTTTAAAAATAACTATTAATAAATCCAACATCTTGCAGTATAGAAAATATTTTTTCATAATTTATTTTATAAGTATAATCGTTTTAAATATTTTATTACCTTTAGAACCTTTTATTTAACAGAAGTAACAGCCAAGTCTCGGGATTTGTTATTTTTCCGTCTTTAATTTTAAATCGAGATAAAACATTTAAGAGACTCACTTATTTATCAACAACTTGTTATATGTGTACACTAAAAAAACTATCTACAAATTAATGTATAAAAAAACAATTATGATATTTTGAATATAATTGTGGTGTACTCAATAAAGGGTTTAACTAATAATTATAAAAATATTAATAAAAAAAAAAGTAGACCATAAACCTTTTAATGTAGGCGTAGCATAAGGGGGGCTTAGTCCCGTTTACAATTTAGTCTACCCTCCCAGAAATTTAGCAAAATTATAAACTCTGTTAAATAAAAATTATTTTTCGAAGGAGAAAAATTAAATTTTAGCCCTCCCAAACAATTTGACTACCCTACGCGTATGCCACTTAGTCATCGATTTATTATTTTATGCAAAATAAAATGCTACTAGATAATAAAGATTGATCGTTTTATAATCTCTACTTACTCATGTTATTGGTAGTTGACCATGTCGATGGTTAGCTAATAAATACTGACAGACAAATCACGTGCTCATGAAATATTTGAAGCACGCTCAATACACATGATAATTTATAATTTTGAAAAGAGTAAAGTAACAATTGTTTTCTCCTCTCATTAAAATCAACAAAATTGAACCCTAATAAAACATACGTTGTTTAGTTAACTATAAAATATACCGACAATTGTGTTACGTTTTTTATACAATGATTTATGACGATATTTACTTTATTTTTGACTACTTAAAAAATGTTTATTTTACATAAATATTTATTGACTTAATTATTTACATAGAAAGATTGTTTAACTATGTTTCACAAAAAAACCTTAAAATACTTTAAATTATTATTTATCTTGTTAAATAATAAATAAATTTATGATAATTTAAATTTTTAATTTAAATGCGAAACTGAGAGAGTTTTGTGATGATGCGTTTTATTTTATTTCTTTGTCCATGAAAATGTTCAACTCTCACTAGACCGATTTTTATGGTCAATATGTCAAAAGAACAAGGTTTTAATGTAGATGGACTAATTAGAGCCAAAAATCTGAAAAACCCTTCATTTTTAGAAATTAAATAAAATTTCAAAGTTACACTACTATAAAAAAGAACATTTTTAAAATATTTTTATGCATTTTAAAACTGATTTAATTTTTTTTTAAACATTGATCCAAATAAGATATAATAGAGTATATAAGAGACAATAAGCTTTCTTTTAGTATGCTTTTTCTGAAAATCCAATGAAAAACATACGTATATAAAGGGTTTAAATGAGAATATGAATGCTCGTCAAATGTTTTTTTAACTCGATTTTTAAAAATGTTCTTGATGGTCTGATAATTTCTAACCTATATCAAATTAAAGCTTTTAAAGATACTATTATATTAAAAAAACATTTATCGCGAGAATTGTTCTACTACGAGGAATTGGTAACAATTCCATTGATAATGCAAAACAATAACGTTATTTTCAATTAAGCAAAGTTATTTTCAGTTAATTTAACAAGCATTTTAATATTTGAATAAAATCTTAAAACGTATATATTAAAAAATTACAAATATACAAATTATTGTGAAATGGAATAGATTCACATTGAAGCATTTTTTATGATAGTGATGTTAATCACTATCAAATATCGTCTATAATTTTACGTCCCAACTTTGTAACATCCCCACTGTGTAATTTTTTTAATTAACGGAATTGTAATTTTAACTCTGATGCGTAACTGGAAAACTGTTGGTTTTACTCTATCGTGTTTTTTTATTTGGTCCATATACGCGATTACTTCCACTCCTACAGGACCGATTTTGCTCCACGATACATGAAAATATAAAACTATACTGTAGCCATCACAGTAGGGGCGGATAGACCCACCAGAAAACCGGAAATTTACCAATGGGCCCCTCAACCTAGCTATAATTTATTTTATAACTAGGACCCAAAATTATTTTTTGGGTTCGTTTTTAAATGATCAACCATCAAAAATAATTCAAAATGTATTACAACGTTTAATATTTATGAATGTTTAAATAGATCTGCTAAAAAACAAAGAGTTTTAAGATAATATAAATGTATTAGGTACTGAACGTAAATTCCTTAGAAATGTATGATAATTCTAAAATTGGTTAATAAAAAAAACTATAGTATTTATATAAAATAAGTACAATTTTAATGAACTGTATGCGAGCAAGCAATATATTTTTTAAAATTGAGGACTCTGTTTATTCTTTCTCGGTAAATAAAATTCATTTATCCGCTATTTCCCTATGGAAATACTGACACTTTTATATATATTTTAAATTAAAGCTAATGTAATATACTTTATTATGGAAAAAAAAAATTTCGGACTTTATTTTGTCTTCACGGTGAAAATGACTACCGAATGCTATTTTTGTGTGAAAATTCTAGATTTTATATTTTACATTTTTAACTTAAAAATGTTATAACTTTTTGAAAAATGTATGGATCAATACAATTTTTTTAGTGAGAAATAATATTTATATACTTCTTTAATTCGACATACTTTTTTTTTAAATCGGACTATTTCCCTTAATACAGGGGGGTTCAAAACATAAAAATGCATATAGAAATTAGAACTTTTTCAACTTAATTTTTGAAAGTGTTCCGGAAATACTGACACTTTTATATATATATATCTTAAATTAAAGCTTATGTAATATACTTAAATATTAAAAAAAAATGTTTGTACTTTATTTTGTCTTCATAGTAAAAATAGCTACCGTATTCAAAAATATGCTATTTTTGTGTTAAAATTCTTGATTTTGTATTTTATTTTATTATAAGGGGATTACACTGATTTTCATAAATATTATATAAATCTAATTGACATAGTACAAAAAATTAAATATATTTATTTTTTTTGTTTCTTTAAAGTCGAGAAAAATAACTTTAAAATTTGAACTAGCTAAATTTCAATTTTTATTAAATGATGAATGCGACGGTAACACTTAGGTCTTTCACGCTTGTGGCACTGATTTTTTTCTTAATTCTTTTTGAGTTAGAAAAAAATGTTTAACTCATTTGATTTTTATCTCATTTAGATTTAATAACTTCAATAAATATCAAGGATCCCATTACTGTAGTCTCCTCTCGTGAGAAGAAATTCATATTAATATTATTTTACTATGTCGTTTTTTTTTTTTGTATCTATCATTTATATTCTCAGCTCTCACTTGACCTACTTTTTCGACAAATTTTTTTTTAATTAAACACTATCTACAGATTTGCATCGAAGCGTTTTTTAAGATAGTGATTTTAATCACTGTCAAACATCATCTATACTGGAACAACTATGCCACGACCCCACTGTGCCGCCACCCCACTGTGCTGGGTTTTTAAATAATTAACCTCTTAGCTAATAATTGAATTCTCAAAAAAAATCTCACCGTAAAGAGAAATAAAGTATTATCAAAAAAATGTTCAATAATCGATTCAGTAGTCAAAAAGTTATTTCAATACAAAGTGAAAACTAAAATATCAATATTGACCGTTATATGACAAATGTATTTTTTTTTGGATGTTTCTCTTTTTTGCCGAGACTGAAGGGAATTTTCTAAAAATTATAGCACTGATATCTTTTCCTAGATACATTTTGTGATCCTTTGATGTATCGTTGAACAAAATCGGTCCAGTGATAAAATGGCATATATGAATACAAAAAAAGAAAAACACAGCATAGGAAAACTAATTGCTTCCCAGCTACAGATCGAAGGTAATAGCAATTTTAAATAAATAATATCAATAATAACTTAAAGTATAATTTTATAAAAAAAAATTTACTTACATCTACAATTTAAAGTCAATTTAAAAAGTTGCATCATTTCTTACATAATAATATAAATCAGCCTTTGTTCATTATTTTAAAATGTATACAAAAATAATTGTAAAAAATAATTTGTTTAAATATCAGTATTCTGTTCATTCAGAAATTCAGATTCTAGGATAGCCTCTGGTAAGGGATAATACTTGTTTGAACATTCATGTTCTACAAAGTAATCTCCACCCATTTCTGCATACATTTGAGGTGTTAATAAATATTTAAAAAAATCTTCTCTATTTGCAAACATTTTTGCACCATACCATGCATCCAATGAAGAAGATTCTGCTAATTGAACATTTATATGTGATCCTATTGGTCTCATTTCCTTAAGCTCTCTATGCATTCTTTGTGCAAAACCTCGTAACTTCGATGGACCACCAGTAAGAAAAACATTTTCTACTAATTTACTGCTTATTTTCATATCAAATTTCTTTAGTGTGAAATTTATTGTATCTATAATACCTCCTTGACTACAACCAATCATGGATGGTTGAAATAAAACTTCTGCACAACGCATACATTCTACACCAAAATGCAATTGATGAGCTTCTTTAGGATTTTGCTCCTCATTCGTATTAGAACTAACAAATGATGGATCATAGAACCGCAAAATTTCTTCAAGTTCATTAATTTTTTCTTGTTCTTCTTCACTATCAGTGTCACCACCTTCCTATAAATATTCATTAATATTAATTAATATTATTAATAGGTGGCACTAAGTAGGTCGATCTTTAAATTTAAGGAACAGTGTAAAACATTTTGAAGATTAACCATTTTTACATTACTTTAATGTTTATGTTTTACAATGGTTTTAAATATAATATTATACTTACTTTATTAATAACTTTATAAACATCCCAATCTTCATCTCTGCTACCAAAATCATCATCTCTTTTATCTTTACGAGCCAACTGACTAATAATCCGCATACGTTCTAATGATGCAGCAGTTCCTCTTTTAGCCATATCCTGCCTTCGTTGTTTACGAACTGCTTTCCTATCAATTATATCTTGTCTTTTTTTATAAATATCTTTAAGCCAAGTTTTCATTACTGGTTCATCTTTAGGAAGTTGTATTATATTTTTAAACAATCTCAACTTTGGTTCTTCAGTAACTTGTTCATCAACATGAGGAGCATTTGATGCAGCAATTTTGGATTTTGTTCTATCAATTCTTGTTTGCAGGTCATTGATCATTTTTTTTAAATCTTTATCATTTTTTAATCCATGAGATCGCAATACTTCCTAATTAAAAATATTATTTAAAATCATAAAAATAACACATATTAGTTCTAGAAAAAAAGAGCTTCAGTCAATTTTTTATTTTTTTTTTAAGAAAAATAGTATTACAATTTCATTTAATTTTTGATATAGATATTACAATTCTAAAATCAATGCTCTTTAAATAGTTAACGAAAAAGTTAGAATTTTAATATATAACAGATATATTTTCAAATTTTAAAAGAGTTCTCTTGGAAAGCTAATCCTATTAATTAAATAAATCAAATTAATTAAATAAATTTTATTTTTAGGACCTGTATTATAATTAACAACAATGATTATAACTTATAAATTAATAAATATTATTAATTTACATGTATGGTTTAAGTTTTTAAATAAAAAAATAAATACATGAAAATTTATTTAATACAAAAATTAATATTTAGAATTTTATGTTCAAATAACTATATTATTTTTGTCAAATTTATTAAACAAAATATAAAATAAATAATTTAAGCTGTTATAAAAGTACATGGTTTATAAATTTGTAAAATCCTTCTGCAGTAGTTATCTCAAAGTCTAAAACAATATAATACAAAATAATACTGCAAGTTATACAATTTTGAATTTTAATTCTAAATTAAATAGTAGAATCTTGAAATTATAGGTGTTAATAAGTAGTATCAATTGATTGTTAATATTTTTCTATATTTGTTAATACGTAATAATTCGAGAAAAATAAAATAAAAATAAAATTATAAACCAATAATAAAAGAAGTCTTTTTATTTAGTATTTACTTACTCTAACTTCTTCAATAGGTTCCCCATCATCAATCATTTCTTTAATCATGAATAACTGATGTAATTGCTCTTCATCTTCAGCAAGCTAAATAAAAAAGTTAAAATCAATAATAATATGTGTATAGACTTACATCTATAAAACCTTTTCATCTCTTTTTCTTGCATTCATTTCCACTAACTTTTTTGCCATTTCTCTGCGTTTGTCCCGTTGTTGGTCTGGGGTTAAAATAATAGCCATAGAATATGGCAATTGTATTTTTTTAACATTTTGGTCATAATAATCAGCATCTGACCATAAATTCAAGGCATCAAAATAATTATTAGCTATAAAACCATGCTCATAAAGTAACTCCTATTGAAAATAATAATATTATTATATTTATAGATGTAGAAATTAAGTAATTTAGATATATCTTTACCTCTGCCCTACTTAGAGTAATAGCATTATAGTGTGCTGGATATTTCAGTTGAAGCAATTTGTGTAAATAAGAAATAATATGATATCCACCAACATCAATTCTTCGACAATTAATTAAATTAGGAGATCCATTGATAATAGGAATTATGTGAGTCGTATAATAACCACAACTAATAATTAAACCAGTATTCTTATGTTGACTATTTTTTTGGAAGCTGAACAATCCATCAACGCCATAACATATACCAGGAACATGGTAGCATTCAAACAATAACTCTGACATTACTAAATTTAATAGCAATTTTTAAAAATTAATTACTTGCACTTAATCTCTAATAGAGCCAATATAAAAAATAGATAATTATTACCAAAAATAATAGACCTATTTTATCATGTATTAAAAAAAATTTTAATTCCCAAAATTAAGTATCAACAATTTTAAATTTCTGTTAATAGATTGTACAATTTGTATAGAAAAAACATAAATATCTTCTTGAAATTACTTAGACTTGTATAATATCTACTATTCTCAAAAGAATTGAATATTTCAAGTTTTTTGTTTGTTTTTATACAAGTCCCTCTTAACACTATTATCTAACTCTCAATTATATAAAAATATACAACATACATAAACGAGAATGATTAGGATTAGCAACAGGTTCTGTAATGATAATTGGATGTTTTATAGATCTTTCTGTATCGATTCCCAAATGAGAAAATGTATAGTCAAATATCTGTTCTTGAACATTAAACTGTGTAACAACATTACGGTCAAATTGTGACTTCAATTGGAATCTGACAGCTTCTAAATTTGGAATATCATTTCCAATCAAAGTTTCTCCATCCTATAGAAGTAATCATGTAAAAATTAATGTTTATTATAACTTAAGATAATTACTTTTTTCCCTCTTTCCTTTCGAGGCCGAGCTAATAAGTTTTTAAAAACAAGTTCAGGTTTAGTTGATGTAGCCCAACCAGCTTTACATGCAAATGAACCTATTAGTAAAAAAATTAATTCATAAAAATTTTAGAAATACATTACAAGTCAAATACTATTCTATATAAATAATTACCATTATCAATGACAATTGGTATCTTAAATTCACGCAAAGCTTGGGTATACTCAAAATATTTATCTGGAATTGATCGCAGATCTTTGAGAATGATTAATTCATCTGCCATGATCGATCATTCATATAAAAATTTAACCACTTTTAATTTTTATATTTCTTTAGAATAATTTTTAATATTAATTTTTTTTCAATTTTGATATTATCAATGTTACTGCCGGTTTGAATAAACAAAAATATTGTTATTGATAAAAAAATTTTTAAATGTTATAAACGTAATAGCGGTCAAATGATTTTACCATTGGAAGGAAGAATGAAAATCATGTGTACAGATAACCATCGTAAAATCTTTACGCCAGAAGTCAGATTTTATACAGCCTTATCCGATCCGAATATATTTTTTAAAAGACCAAATAAACCCAACTCTAATATTGTATATATAGAATTTTTGGCCACTTCAATCCAATATTTATTTTTTCAAGACTGGTACGAACCAATTCAAATATATGAGTAAAATTTTAGGCGCGAGCCTAGTCCAAATATAATATAACAAATTAAGTCTACTCTAATCCATTTAAAAAATACCCTTAATTGTATTTAAAAAGTTTTAACTTTTTATTTTTAAAGAAAATAATTCTTTATTTGATTTTTTTTTATTGCTTATTATTTACATTTAAAAATTAATTATTTATAAATATATTTTTTTTATAGATTTCAATACATAGTACTAATAGCTCGACAATTATATTTTATTACTATTCATTAATTAAATTTAATAAATTAAAATGTATTTTGTCAAAGTTGATATCAATAAATATAATATAAAATTTACATATATATTTTACTTTTCTAATTTACACAAAAAATATATGTTTTTAATTATAAATGATTAAAAATCCACGATATCGCTCAAAAGATATATTTAGAAAATAAAAATTTCACACAAAAATAAAAAAAAATTACCTAATGGAACTTACATAGTCCTGATATGAGTCTACTACCACCTAATTGACATAATTTAACTGTTTTAGTCGGCAAATTTTAATTTAAGAGAATGGTATCAAAAAATAATTAATAAAAAAAAAATTTTAAAAATAATTCAATCGGCAAAATTAAATTTATCGGCCTCCCTAATTAACTTCGGGACGGCTCTGAAAAGAACACAACCCAAAAATTTCTTTTTCTTTTTACGGCTAAAAAATTGCATAAGATGTATTAAAAAGTGGTATTTAAGTTAAATGGTATTAATTTTTTTTCAGTTCTAGTATTTGTAAAAGTAAAAAAAAAAAACGCTAAAAAATCATAAACAAATGTCATGTATAACTATAATTATTAAACGCAATAATAATAACTAAAAAAATAGTTTTATTAAATATTATCGAAAAATTTCCGACTATGACTGATTTTACTTTTATACATTTATTTTAGTCATCGTAATTTTTCTATAATTTTCGATAAAATAAAATTCCTTACATTTTTAAAAATATTTAAAAATGTACGTCTTTCTTAGTAAATTAAATCTTTGGTTTGTAAGCCGTCCCTGAGACTATATTAAATTCACGTTCCAGTCCCTAATTTTAAATAAATTGAAAAACATCCCGGGAAACCGTTACTGAATAAAAAAAATCTATATGTATTACGATAAATATTAATTAATATCGTAACTACAGTTGTACAAACATTTTATAACAAATTTGTATTAAACTGTGATTTGAATCTCATTTTAAAGCTATTATAACTGTTTCAATGTAACAAGTTGTTAACTAACCAACTACAACCCAATTCAAACATTGTCATATTGATCCCCGTCAACTAGCTCCCGGAGTTCTAGATCTATATTACATCTAGAGATTATTTGGTCCTAGGATTAAAAAAAATTAAGATACTAGCATAGACTAAATAAAAATATAGTCTGTGGTCCTACTGAAAACATTATCATTTAGTTATCACTCCATTTTTAGTGTATAACTATAAAAAAATATATGACAAGTACAATATATCAACTGGAACTACGTCTAGTTAACATTTACTTATATTTTAATAGCAATTCGTAAAATTTCCATAACTAAATTGCATTTTTATTCAAGGAAAAATTAGTTTAATGTATCTATGTAAATGTACAATTAATCATAAAAAATATTGTAACATGTGTTATTAATAATACTTATTTTACAAAGTCCTTGAAAATTGTAATTGGTCATCGTCATCTTTGGACAACCCGACGCTTTGGTGACTGGTTTTATAAGATAGTAGAGATTTGAGAACCCAACCTACAATTATTTAGCCAAACGTTTTACCAAAATTAAGTGCTGTTAGTTGAACATTTGTTCAATTATTTTGATATTTAGAACTTAAAATTACATTTTTTAGTTCAAGCCAACGTTACTCAATATGATTTCTCCTTTTAATCAGCTAAGCAAACTTGTGGAGCAACAAAATTCAGTGGACACATTTCCTCAATTTAAAACACACCTTGTACCAGGTATAATTAATAGATTTTACAAATATTGTTAATGTTAAATAATTTTAAATAGCTTTGTATCAAATAAATAAGTTTTACAGTATATGTAGTATAATTAATTATAATCTATAGTTATGTATCTCGAGTACAATTATCAAAAAATGAGTAAACTACTTAAAATAATAGAATATTTATAGATTTATAAGAGGCCCAGTAATATCTTGATTTTGAATTTATATTTACTTAATTCATTAAGAACATGCAAGTTTTAATGTTGTATTTAAGAGTTTAATGTGGCTAAATAAAGTATTTCCTTTTTTTAAAAAAAGATCTCATTAAATTTAAATCTATTAAACCAAAATTTTTAAAGACATTAAAGTATTATAATTTTTATATCTCTATGATGGTTCAATCTTCCATACACCATTAGTTACTTAATTATTGTATTTTATTTTAATTACTGTTTTTTAATCTGATATTCTGTAGAATATTATTATTGGATAAAAATTTAAAAAAATAATAAGTGTTACTTGAAATTTCTTATTTCTTATGTTAAGATTATTAAATATTAAATTATATAAATAAATTTCCATGTAGTGGAATTCAATTTAATTAAAGTTACTAACTGAGGTAATCTTGTTGAGTGTTAATTATAAAGTGCACTCATTAATAAGCAAGGTTAAAAAACTCAAATTTATAATTTAATCCTAAATAATGTTTTATGAACTTTTTTAAATTTAATTTAATTAAAGATAGTATTTTTTGAACATTAAACTCAAATTATGATCATATTTAATATTAAAATATATATATGTTATATATTATACTTTAGCAAATATACTATAATAAATTNATATATATGTTATATATTATACTTTAGCAAATATACTATAATAAATTGTGAAGAAAAAATTTTGTATTTTGTTTTATTCTTATGAAGATTTATGAGACATAGCAGAACGATCATATACAAAATGATAGGTCTATTATAAAGCTCTCAATTACTTGCAAATTAAATACAATACAGAAAAAACACTGTTTCGCTTTTTTTAGTTATGTATATTTTTTTCTATTAGCTATTAATTATATTGTAGAATTATCTCTTAACTTAATTGAAACCTACATATTCATCTAAATTATAAATTATAATTAGAAAATTATCTAATTAAATATTGATCGTTTATGTAAGTGAAAAAAGGAATATGGCTGAACTATGTCTAATGATGAAANTGTAAGTGAAAAAAGGAATATGGCTGAACTATGTCTAATGATGAAAATAGCTGCAACTATACTTTACCTCTAGTCTATATTAACTAGCTTATTAAATAGAAAATAATTATTTGGAAGTTATTAAAAAATAAAGACATCTCTTATAACATCATTATTAGAATTTATAAGAATTAATTCTACAGTATAATTTACAAATAAAAAATATATACAATTAAAAAAAGCAAAATAGTTTTTTTCTACATTGTATTAATTTTGCAAGTAATTGAAAGATTTGTCATAGATCATTCTCTTAGTATATGATGATCAGCTGTCTCATAAATCTTCATAAGAATGAAGCTTATCACTCTGTATATCATAGATTTTTATTCATGATATTAACATAATATTGAGAAATATTGATTATTTTATTTAATGTAATAGCTGTTTAGGAGATAAGTTTTTCTTAAAAATAATTGCTTTAATAATGTTTTACATAATTTTTTATACAAGAAGTCTAAGAAATAACTAATCTACTTCTATTTATGATTTCAGGCAGAACAATTGCAGCTGCTGCAGCCAACGAAGAAAGTTGTGCATTTGGTTCTTCTAAATATTTTGCATTATGTGGTTTAGGTGGAATTTTATCTTGTGGTTTAACCCATACAATGGTTACACCTTTGGATTTAGTTAAGTGCAGACTTCAAGTAGATCCAGGCAAATACAAAAATTTGATTAATGGTTTTAAAGTTACTATGGCAGAAGAAGGTGTTAAAGGATTAGCCAGAGGTTGGGCTCCTACTGCTATTGGTTATTCTATCCAGGGATTAGGAAAGTTTGGACTGTACGAATATTTTAAAATAATGTATGCAGATATTTTAGGGGAAGAAAAAGCCTACTATTGGAGAACATCCCTTTATTTAGCGGCTTCAGCTTCAGCTGAGCTTTTTGCTGATATTGGTTTAGTTCCTCTAGAATCAATTAAAGTTAAAATTCAAACTACACCGGGTTTTGCCAATAATATGCGTGAAGCTGTACCAAAAATGATCCAACAAGAAGGTGTTTCTGCATTTTTTAAGAGTTTAGTACCACTATGGATGAGACAAATCCCTTATACAATGATGAAGTTCGCTTGTTTTGAAAGAACGGTTGAATTGCTCTACAGTCATGTTGTACCTAAACCTCGTGCTGAATGTTCTAAAGGAGAACAATTAGTAGTTACTTTTGCTGCAGGTTATATTGCAGGAGTTTTTTGTGCTGTTGTTTCTCATCCTGCTGATACATTAGTATCAAAATTAAATCAGGAAAAAGGAGCTTCTTCTATGGAGGTGTTAAAAAAAATTGGTTTTGGTGGTTTATGGAAAGGTCTTGGACCCAGGATTATAATGATTGGTACCCTTACTGCTCTTCAATGGTTTATTTATGATTTTGTGAAAGTGTCATTGAACATTCCACGACCCCCTCCCCCTGTTCCTCCTAAAAGCAAGCAAGAATAAATTTTTTTAACAAATATTTTTAAACAGTATGTTTAAGAAAAACTTTTTTTTTCAAACTAATTAATGTTCTATGAATTGTAAACTTACTCATAGTATTATTATCTTATTATTTGTTTTTGAAAAATATTCAACCTATTGTAAGTAAAGAAGTATTGATATGAAATATTTTAATCATATTGATTAAATACAAGTAATATTTTATTATATTTATAATGCATTTTAATAGAATATTTTCCTATATTATCATCCAATATTAGCTAAAAAGGTATGGATTTTACTATGTTTTTTTTTTTTTGTATGTGTTGTTACCACTTATTCTCAACTCTTGACCAATTTCGATGAACAATATGTCGAAGTATCACAAATTGTATCTAGTCGAAAACATTACCCTCAAAAATTGAAAAAATTTTCCTTCATTCCCTGTAAATGGAAGAAATCCCCCAAAAAATTATAATTTTAAAAATCGATAATTTTCAACATTTTTTCAACCTTTAATTAAAAATACCATAACTTTTTCAAAAATGTATTAAAAAACAAATTTTTTTTATAGGTACATTAGGTATTTACTTATCATTTAGTATATTTTTTAAAAATTTGAAATCTTACCTGCTCACATGGGGGGTTTCAAAGTGGCAACTTTTCCACAAAAAATTAACTTATGAAAATGTTCCGGAAATACTGACACTTCAGTGATTCACGTTTGGGGTAAGATGTTCTCAAATTCGTCCGTTGATTGGTATTTTTTGCATTTTTTTTTTTTTAATTATTTTGAGATAGACAAAAATTTATTTGATTTTTATCTCATTTAGATTGAAAAACTACAATTATATTTTTTGCATCGCTTCTTTTTTTGACATTATTACTAATTTATAAAAACAAGTATTTATATTTAAAAATTTATTTTTAATATGTTAAAAATAATTTGTACAAAATTTCGATTCAAAATGTCATGTTTAACCTATTTTTGGTCCATTAAAATTAATTTTTATGAAAGTTTATAATTTAAAAATGTTGAACTTTTAACTTTATTTTAAATTTTTATTTAAAATAAATTTATATTAAATTTAGTTAAATGTATATCATTAAATACTATATATTTACGAAGATTTAAAAATAGTTTTATTGATATATGGTCAGAAACTTATATATTTACTATTAACAGTAAATTTATGAAAAAGTCCAAAAATTCCTAGTTAAACATTCATAGCCTACATTTTTTACCCTGATATAAGTGTTATGATACATATCCTCCATTATATTAATGTACCTTTTCGGAACTCCTTTTCTCATTAATGCCCACTTTAAAACCTCTCTCGGTACTGTTCATACAATCTTTCCAAATCTATAAGCACTATACACAGTTTTTTTTCTTTTCCATATACTTTTCTATTACTTGTCTCACAAAAAAACAATGACTCCATTGTTGACTTACCCAGCATAAATTCAAACTGGTTTTTAGTTACCGATGTCATATTTCTTATTCTCTTATCTATTACCTTTTCCCAAATCTTCATATTATGACTCGTAAGCTTTATGACTATAATTTTTACACTTCTGTATGTCTCCTTTACCTTTAAATATTGGCACCACAATACTATTTCTCCATTAGGGATTTTCCCTTCTAATAAGATTTTATTTAAATCAAGAATTATACATAACTAAGAAAAAAAGTTTTTTTTTCTAAATTGTATTTATTTTAAGAGTAATTAAGTGATTTATAATAAACCGATATTCTATAGAGAATTAAAATCATTCACTTCTAATGTTTTTAAAGTATTTATCGTCTAATTAAATTTGATATGATAATAGGGTTCAACTACAAATTTAATAATTTACTTTTTTATTTTTTAATTCTATTTGTGTGACACAACCTGTCTATAATATTCCAAATTTTTTTATGGAATGTCCTGCGCTATTGTCTCTGATCCCTTTTGGGGTTCCGCAAATTAATACCAGGTCGAATGCGCCTTTCCAAGCACGCATGCCCCCACGAATTACCTAATGAACGAACCCCTCCGCCGGTTACTTAAAAGTGCAAACGCTGATCTTAATTTTATATTATAATATTAATTTTATTGTGCTTATTGATGACTTATTCATACGTTTGATTTATTAGTTGTAAACATATTAAAATTTGTCTTTTGTTTGTTTTTTTAGCTTCGATGCGAAGCTGAGAAGTTATTAATTTTACTATGATGTATTTTTTTCTTTTTGTGTCTGTTACCACTTTTTCTCAGCTCTCACCGAACCGATTTCTTTCAACGATACATCAAAAGATCACAAATCGTATCTAATCGAAGACATTACCCTTAAAAATTGAAAAAATTTCCATGTTCCCTGTAAATGGGAGAAACCTTCAAAAAAATTACAAATTATAAAATCGCTAATTTTCGAAATTTTTTCAATTTTTTTTTCTTAAATTTGCTATAACTTTTTCAAAATTGAACAAATCAATATAATTTTTTTTTTTAATAGATGCGTAATGTCCTTACCTATCATTTGATATATTTTTTTTATAAATTTTACCCTTTACCTGCCCACAAGGGGGGATTTAAAATGACAACTTTTTCACAAAAAATTAACTTTTTCACCTGAATTAACAATTGATTTTTACAAATATAATCAAATTTTATAATACACTCAATTGAGTAAATCTTTTTAACAACTTTGTTTTGATTGGTACATTTAGTTAAAGTAAATCATTAAAATTAATTAAGTTCTCAATATTTCAATTATAGAATCTTTTCAACAAACAACAAAAGTTCCTAGGAAATTATTACTATTACTTCTATTTAAGTTATCTATTACCATAAAAATGCAAAAAAATATTGAGCTTTTCTGATAAATTTACAATAAATAGTAATTATAAAACTTTCTGACTGCATATTGATCTTAACGATACAATTTTTTTAATTGTCATAAAATTTTCTATTTAAT